TATAAAACAACCTAATTACAGATCTTACTGCTCCTCTTCTGACTGAGCTTGAATCTGAAATGGGAGCTAACTTCAAAATCGTAAACAAGTCTGCACTATAAGAGATTTTTTTAATCATTTTTTTGACAATGAGATGCCAAGAATATCCTGCATACTATTATTCATATGATATGTAAAAAGATACTTAAAAACATTGGGTGCACACTGACAGCTCCAATTTTGGGTGCACTAAGGTGCACATGCACCCAGTATTTCGAGCCCTGCACAGTGATATCTGTATTTGGTAATCTAGCATAACAAAAAGCGCTGAACCGATATCCAAATGTGCACAAGCGTGTGGCAAGACCAAGGGTTAACCTAAAGCACCTCCTCTATGGATTTCCTCGCATTTCCAGATACAATTGGCTAGTCTATGGTCTTTGATGTCCCGCCAGTAATGTACTCTATCTTCTATGATGCTAATGTCCCACCAGCAATAGTACTTCTGTACTGGTGTCTTATAATGGACTGGCCAAGACACAATAATAAAATTCATTCATTCATTTAATCATTCATTTATTCATTCATTTAATCATTCATTTAATCATTCATTCATTCATTCATTCATTCATTCATTCATTCATTCATTCATTCATTCATTCATTCATTCATTCATTCATTCATTCATTCATCCTATGTAGACCACAGGAAGAATAGCCTCTTATGAGGCTAATTGTGGATGTGAATAAAACTGAAACTTAAATTCAGTACCTCCACCAGGTAGACTTGTATAACAAGACCTGTGTACGGACTACATTTCAATGTCCATGTATGTGAATATAATTTTCACTGTGTTACCTTTCGCTAATGGCTATATTGCTCTACTGCTCAGCCCAAATCGTAAAGGTGGGCCATCCCAATTTTAAGCCTCAGTTAATTCATAATAAACTCTATCTAGTGTTCCGTGATGATACCTGCACTAGAATAAACCGATATCTAAACGTGTAAAAACCTGTTACGAGTGTGTTACAAAACCATAAATTGGCCAATACCCACTGCAGGTCACACCCCGTAAATAACGAGCTTCATCTGGTGTCTTGTAATATGTTTATGTATCAACAGCTTCATGCATGCATATACACTTAATTGTACTAGATAACCTATAATGAACCGATATCTAAACGTGTAAAACGTGTTACAGAACCATAAAAGTGGCCCATCCAAATATAGGTCGTACCCCATAAATAACGAGCTATATCTGGTTTTCTGTGATGTTTTTAACATGCAGAAATTTAACAAGCTATGCATATGATACCCATACTAGATAATGTAAACCGATTGCGATGTCTAAACGTGTAAAACGTATTACAAAACCATATACAAAGATGGCCCATCCCAATGCATTGTAGGTCGCACCCCATACATAATGAGCTTCATCTGCTGTTATTTTATGTTTCGCCGGCTATAAAATCTACACCTTTATGGCCCGTCGTTAACGCCGTTGGCGGAATGTATCCCGTAAGACTTGCCCTATTTTTTTTCGCGCATTTTCTATGGTCAATAAATGGGCCCCATTTTCCCACTTGACAGCATGTTATTTGTAAATATGCATTAGGGTTGAGCCGCATATTGTCAGATTGTCTTCTGAAATGGGCAAGTGGATTGGATGGTAGTTTGCGCAAATGATACTATCAGGTTTTATATCTTTTTCGGCTATTTTCTGTTGATGTGGGTTCTATTGGAATGCCCTTTCCATGAATTTTCTATGGTGGGTGAATGGCTTGAATTGTTCCATTTTCGCAAGAAAATGCAGGTTCGTTATTGTAAATCCATTTCAAATGTCTTTTCCCAAATGGCGACATGGATCGAGCAAACAGTTTATGCAAATTTGTCTACATTCTGATATATAAAGTTATGAACACAAAGTAGAGATAATTGTGCAATATAAGAATAAATTGTTTCTGACACTCAAGACACAATAATGTACGCGCAATGAGTGTTGACAACCTAGCCAAACTATATCAAAAACAGTAACGTTAATTCAAAATGAGCTTTAAAAGTCCCTTTGGGCTACTTCACCACCCTTCTACATTCATACACAATTAAGCTGTGAGCTGCTCAACAGTGCGATTCCTTTTTAAGTGCATGTATAAATATGACAATAAAGTAATTATATGTTTGCTTGGGCGCTTCTGCAAAGGCTTGATAACAGATTTTAGTGTTAGATAAACGGTTGACTCTAATCGTAAATCTTACAAACGGATAATTTTACTGAATATTTGTCCTATCTTTTCTACACCAGGGATTGTGTAAACAAACTGAGAGTAACACATACTGTGATTGTTATATCAAAGCAATGTACAGGATGATGAACTTTTTTCCATATTTTTTATTTTGTAATATTTCATCTCATTTTCCTTAATATGTTTTTTTACCATAGTTCAAGCCATTCTATCAAATTTTGTTATTTTTGTTGTATCTTTTTTTTTTAGATTTTTTATCATCTTTATTTCTTTTCAATTTTTATTTTTATTTTTCTTTATATCAATTTCATGTAAAAATTCTTTTTTTAAGAAAGCGCATGGCCCTTTTTCATTCTATCAAATTTTGTCTATTTGATCTTTTTTTATTTTTTTAAATTTCTTAAATTTTTTACATTTTTTTACATTTTTAATTTTTGCTTTACTTTTTAAATTTTTCTTCCTGGGAAGCTGTAGACCTTGGAGTGCAATCCCCAGTACAAATCTCCATTTACCCGGAGATGTAACCTGCACGAAACCCAATTCCATTTCCCAGCCCGGTAACTGTGTAGACAAGCTGACAGTAACAATGCTGTGAGCAATGTTAAAAACTTTTTTGCATTACTTTCTTTTCTTTTATTTTGTAATATTTCATCTCATTTTCCTTAATTAATATGTTTCTTACCATAGTTCAAGTCATTCTATCAAATTTTGTCTATTTTTATCTGATTATTTTAAAATTTTTTAGAATTTTTAGAATTTTTAATTTCCTTTTGATTTTTTTTCATTTTTATTAATTCCATATTTGAAAGAAATTCTTTTTTTTCTGGAAACTGTAGACCTTGGAGTGCAATCCCCAGTACAAATCTCCATTTACCCGGAGCTGTAACCTGCACGAAACCCAATTCCATTTCCCAGCCCGGGGTTTTACCTAATATTGATCTGTTGCCGGCATCAGAATTACCTCCGAGCCGCTCGATCTATCAGCGCGTCCCATCAAATCGAGCTGGTGGCCTGTCTTATTCTAGTCTGGATAACTCAGGCTGCTGTCGGGGCCTGCACAGGCCAGCTATCGTGTCTCGTAGTTTGCCTATCTAGTTATGTGCCTGAATGGGTTAGGGATATCCAAGAACAAAAGCATGGTTCTTGATACGCGTGAATTATTCAGAAACCTTCCTGAGCTGGTTCTGGATAAAGCACGGTTCTGGATACGTGGGGACTATCCGAAATAGATTCATCTCCTCTTTTGGTTGCTTCAAGACAGTATCATTGGCAGGACAGTATCCATTTGGCTGGCGTAAAAAAAGGTAGCGCAATAAAAACGCATAAAACACGTCAAAACCAGGCTCACTGAGATACTTTGTGTCCAGTGTGATTGGGTTTGGAATCCAGGCTAAGTCCGAAGACTGGAAGAGACTAGAGTGGGCATAGAAGCTTACAGGGCGGAGGACTCTTAACCTAAAGCCCTGGAAAAGCCTGGTGACCAGGCTAAGCTATCTGCCTCTCAAACCAGAAGCCCTTGGAGACACTGATGACCAGGCTAGGAGATCGGCCCCTCAGAAGCCTTGGTAAAGCCTGATGACCAGACTAACCTATCTGCCTCTCAACCCCACAGACCATGCGAGCCGCGGCAGAAGCGTATAACGGCCTGATTGAACGGAAAACAGCCGCGACTCTGTGTGGAGATTACAGGGAGATTCTGCCTGATGGACAGCAGGAGGGTGTTCTGTTAGACAAATATGTCAGGAGGGCGGGGGAGGCAGGAGCTGGTAGCCTCTACCAGGCTTCGGGAGGCGGCTGGGAGGAGTAGAAATTGGCCAAATAGAGAGATAACATTCCTGGGGAGATGCTCCGCTAGAGAGTACAGCTTGGGTGCGGCAAAATGTATTTTTTAGCAGATTTTTATCTCCCCTAGCATGTTATCTCTCTATTTGGCCAACTTCTGCTCTTTCCAGCCGCCCCCCGAAGCCTGGTAGAGGCTATGAATTTGTGTAGGAAGCCGATCGCGCGGTGTTAGGAAGGCCTAGGTGCAGAGAGACTGGCCATGGAGCTCTACTTTTCTGATGCATTTGCAGGTGCAATTAATCTCAAAGCAGATCTTAAGATAGCTATCATAAAGACATTATGCTTTGGGCAAGACAATGTTCATTAGGCTTGACAGTATCTTGACCTGCGGCTGTCGGAAAACGGTATGTAGAAAAATGTCCCAGTCAGTGTATTGTTACTTCACCCGTGAGTTTGTTTTTACCTCAACAACAAAGCGTCTATTAAAACCTTCTGCATAGTTTGAAGAAACCATCAGATTTCTGAAGGCTTTCCTTCATAGCATATGTATTGCAGATGGACTTTTGACAGACGTAGGGAAACAGGTAGTGGTTGTGCATACGCGTATTGTTCCATGTTGTTCGTGCTAAAACTACCAATTCCTGTATAGTTTCTGTCAACAGGCAGGGCTAGGAATTTGTACCAACCACCGACTAGTAGCCGGGGTGCTACCTGTATGCCTTTCACCGATCTCCTAGCAGATTATCGGGGGAAATGGGGTCTATTTGCCGCCTGTAACCAGTTAAATTTCGGCCAGACCAACGAATACAAAGCGAGAAGAAGTTGAACATGAACATAGTAGCTAACATTAGTATGTATAGTGTTGCTAAGATATTGCCGTAAATTTTGTTACTTCCAATTTATTCATGTACCTGTACTTAGCCTGTAAGAGCACAAACGTACAATGATAAAACGTACATTCATTCACAAGTTATGATATAAAGCAAGAGGACTTACCGTTTCTTGCCTTGTTCTCTGTCTCTCTGTTTGCTGATGTCCCTGTCCGCTGTCCTTCAGCCGCTGCCGTGTCCGCGTTACTCCGAAGTCACAAGTACCGTCTCTCTGCAAAGGAACAGCCTCACGTCAGTCGATTTTCCGTTTTTTACTTCCCTCAATCCTGACACTATCAACAGCTTGTCCGCCCGCAGGCTTGAATTATCCGATTTTCTCTCGCGCACACAACGTTAACCCCTCTCGCCGCAGGCTCCTGATTTGATTTCGCTGTAGTAAAAAACAAAACAACTTGTTGCTTTCAGGACGAGTGGGCTTGCAACAGCTGCAAAGTGAGCTCTTCAACACACGTACTTCGATCGCGAAAATCTTTTGATCAAAAACACGTCACTGAGGGATCTCGACGATCAGAGAACGCTTGTGGTCCCTTCAGTTTTTCCACGGACGTTGAGAGCGGCTCGATACGTTGTTGTCCACCTCTTACACTGGCACTCAGACACAACACCGGAGTCGTGATCGATCTAATATGTACAATGGTCAGCTGACAAACCTTGACGCCTACCACCCCTCCGGGTTATGTGTTACCGGGCACGCCTACCGCGAGTTTCAACAGGGTAAACTTGACAAACCCGAGCCAGACTCCTGCAAAACTTTACGTTCCCAATTAGATCTGAAACCTGGGAACGGACCAGAGTGCTCAGTTAGATTCAGCAGACGGCTGTTTGTGAAGTGTACAGAGGTTGAAGTTGTGGACAGCCCCACGCCCTACTCTCTCTCCCTGCCAACCACGGCGGGACGTCAGCTTGGCCGTGAGCTTGACGAATGGGCGCCGCTTTTATAACCCGCCCCCGGGGCTCATTTGGCTTGGAAATGCGCCCGTTTTTACTCACGCCCGCCCGCCTTCTCGCTGTAGCCTATACCAGGCTTCAGGAGGCGGCTGAAAAGAGTAGAAATCGGCCAAATAGAGAGATAACATGCCAGGAGAGTTGGTCCGCTACAGAGTAACTTTATAACCCCATGAGAGTACAGTTTGCCGCACTAGCGAACCGTACTGCTGTCTCTCTATTTGGCCAATTTCTACTTTTTTCAGCCGCCCTCCGAAGCCTGGTAGAGGCTATTCTCGCTGGGCTTCGGGTCACGGGCGAAAGTCCCCCCCCCCCACACGCACACACAAGGCTCAAAGGTCCACTTTTTACCTAAAGGCCCAATAGTTTTCTGTAAAAGATGGACTCATTCGTATCAGGGCTGGAATCGTAGAAAAACTGCTCACTTTGTCATCGCATAAAAAGTTATGTCTGAAGAACCCCCCATTCAAAATCCTGCCTACGGGCATGCTCGCCAGTCACTCATACGGGAGAACAAGAACAAGAAGCAATAACCAGTTGGCCCTCGTAGCAAAAGCGGCCGAAATTTGTCAGTGTGATCAGATTTGAAAGGTTTCAAGCCTTGCATTCTGTGGCAGAACCTACAGGTGCTAACTGGCTACGTGCTGCCCAACTATCCTCCAAAGAAATCTGCTTGAAGATTAAGCAGCGAACAGGCTACAAACGTATTCTTCTTGCCTACGAAGAAATCTGCTCGAAGATTAAGCCAACCCGACACTAATGACCCCCGCGGCTAACTGATCTGTTCGCCCATCAGGAGAACACAACCTCCGGGTAATCGAATCTGTCCGTCCTAACGCGCGAAACGTGACGCGATATCAAGAGGCGTGACGCGACATCCCGATGCGTGACGCGACATCCCGATGCGTGACGCGACATCCTAATAAGGCCAAGAAAAAAATGATGTATATATAGAATGGTTTATTTGAAATTTGAAATTTCACTCACAGATGTCACACTTGCAGTCCTAAGACTGAATTATGGTAACAGTACATACATACATTATCATGGACTTATAACAATTATTACTAAAGGTTAAAAATTATGAATTACAACTACAATTTATGTAAGTGTACAATGTATAATAAAACTAGTAAAATGCGTTGGTTAAAAGATGGACATTCGTGTACTATATCGAATTATTAAAATCTTAAAAAATATTTCTATTATTCATATAGGATTTATACTAAGTACTTATAAACAAGGTGAGTTATATAATAGAATACACAGAGTGTTTCCTGTTTTAGTCCTGAAAAAGTTAGGGTCGGTAGGTAGGTAGGGATTATCTTTTTCCTTCCTTTTTTTAGCAATCTCTAGTGAGCCAATACAGTTTAACAAAGTACTTATATTAAAACTTGCATGAGGATACTTCTATTTTCCATGTCAATGTTGGAAAACCGATGGTACAGCGTTTCATCACTCAGGTGTCAAATCAGGGAGCTAAAAAAGGTTGATCAGCTCAAAAAATTATGTCCCTTGCAGGGGTCCACCCCCCAAAAAAGGCTAGGGTTGGCAGGTTTTTCTAGGGTCGGTCGGGAAACAGGAAACACAACATTTTTTCCCTGGGCCTAAAGGTAACGCGCAAATCTCGTCATCAGCGGAGCGGATAGCGCGAAATGAAACGTCGTTTATCTGGGGATAAACCGTTAATGATGCAGAAGAGGGGAAATGAAATGTCGTTTATCTGGGGATCAACCATTGATAATACCGAAGAGGGGATATGAAACGCCGTAAATCTGTGGATAAATCGTTGATAATTTAGGGGAGGGGGAAATAAAGTGTCGTATATTTAGGGATGAACCATTAATAATGTCAGAGGAGGGAAATGAGCTGCTATTTATCTTGGGGGCTTACTCGTTAATAAATTCAGATAGAAAAAGACCTATGATTGTACACAATCCATCTTATTTCGATTAAAAACACAGAAAAAGATAACCTGAGCATCACCTGCAACTTTAAACTGCCTTCTAAATTATTTTTAAGTTAAGAATTTTAAAACATTCATTTTGTAGTTTGGCAAAATACCTGTCAGCATTTTTTTTTACCGATATCCATTTTTCAAATGCAATTTGATACAGTCTATATGAAAAGTTCACTGACACACGTACACGACTTGCACACCGCGTGCCCGCGACTGCCGCCGCGCCGCGTGCCTGCGAAGCTGGTGTGTTACGCCGAAAGGCGGTTATACCAGCTATACAGATACACATGCAGATACATCCTCTGTCATTGTTAATGCCGCACTTCTGACACGAGCAGTTTGATTGTCGAGTTGGCCTTGAAATACTGCATCATCATTATCCTCATTTTTCATAATGATAAGTTATGGTAGATTGCAATCTGCGATGTTTAATGAATAAATGAATACAGAATTACAATTAATCGTTTGTGGTGGTTTTAGATAATCAAAAACTAATCCGCGATTGGAGCAGTGCATCGCGATCAGTCAATACTTTACCCAAATATTTTGTCCGATACGTGATACACAAATGATATTCTAGGTTATCGATTCAACACAAGTTTGGGCAATGTGATCTTGGTTAGGGTACTCACTAATCTAGAGGTCCCCGCCCCTTGGGAAAGGCAGTTAACAATCGTTTCTTTAACTAGACTGGTGAAAATCAGTACCCTAGCTTCGATTAGGTGCGTCCTCTCACATGGGACATAAAGACGAAGATGAGGGGAGCCACACCTCACGCACGTTACACATCACACTACAAAAAAGAGAAAGGCTCCTCCCTGTGTAAGTGATTAAAACCTTACAGTCTGGTCTCAGAGATGACATCCTGAGAAGGTGATAGTCACCTGTTATGTCAATCCTTCCACAACTGTGGTAAATAAATAAATAATGCTATTTTTACTTGTAGCATCAGCCGCCGTGAGAGCTTTTTGTGTGAAGAAACTAAATTTTCGTAATACACAGTGCAACGCGTTATGTGTTTACTGTGATGTTTTACAGCCAATTGAAGCGCCTGTCAGACACACCTGACATGAGTTATGTAGCCAGGTGACGTCTGGGGCAGCCTCAATATCTATGGGAATCGTAAACGGTGATATGCTGTTATTTTTTCATACTTTTATGGGAACAAATTTATCACATTTCTAACGTATGTGTCGTATTGGGCACGTTTGTTGGATCCCCTATCACACAGTCTTACAAATGACCTTACGTCAACTTTCCTGGGTGTTTTTGGTTATATTACCTACGAAACACTGGCTCGCCAGTTTTGGGTTACAGGCTTAGGTATATATTCGTGTTTTTATATTGCTTCAAACCTGTCAGTGCTCCATTTCATTCAGCAGTATAGTATTGCCTGTCCTTGCCCTCTACTCGTGGTCATTTATCTCAGTTTTAATGCAATATCATGCTGTTTACTGCGATACTTCAATATAGATGGCGTAAGGTATCACTTGTTAACTCATTATACGCACGGTTATCAGTTTTTTTATCATCAATATTAGATAAACAAACAAGGACAAAGGCGATACACGGATGTTAGTAGCCTCCATAACATGCCAAAATCTGGTGGTTTGGGGGTCTTTGGGAGCTTTTATGTGCTATTTTCTGATTGCATATAGACAACATAGCCGGCCTGGTTGAATTACCCCCCGTTTTTTTAGAACTGGGCTAAATCAGAGACACAGCCGAGGACCACCAAACCCCCAGTTCTATAAGCCTGCTACGGAGGCTAATCAGAAAACAGCCGAAGACCACCAAACCCCCAGTTCTATAAGCCTGCTACGGAGGCTAATCAGAAAACAGCCGAAGACCACCAAACCCCCAGTTCTATAAGCCTGCTACGGAGACTAGGAAGTTAGACACTTATTCAATATCGCCACATGCACACATAGCAAACGATATTGGAGTGATTTGCACAGATGCTTATCAGTTATAGATCTGTTTTAATTAAGCTTATATAAATTGTGATTATAGAATGCTTAACTGCCTGAGAAGGTTACGTGTATGGATGATAATAAGTAAATATGTATTATGCTAATACGTCAACAATTGCTTTTGAATATTATCTGTAAAATGTCTGCAATTTCACCTGTGTTGCGATATAATTTTCATAGCTGATAACAATGATCATAACAAGACAATCATGATCATTATGATCATAATAATCCATTCATCCCTGTCTGTATTTCTTGTCTCATTTTTTTTTAGTTTATGTGCAAATCGATTAACTGGCAAGTACTAAGATTTGACGAAACGCAACCGACGTCCAGAAGATGGCTATAAAATGGCTAGTTCGGCATCAGGGAAAGGCCTATCTCGTTTGAACATAATTGCCTCTTTTTTTCTTCATGCAATCTTCCACCACAGCTAAGCCGGCGGTTAAGTGTTTCAGCCCTTATCCCACTGTCCATCTATCTCTGACTTACCGCAAACCGGCCGGCAACTCAGGATCCAATTCCGCGGACGGGAGATATGCTTTATCAGGGCTATAG